ATTTGCACACACACACACCATGATGCCTTCTAATCCATTCAGAGTGAATTTAATGTTTCATCATTGCCTTTGAACCAAGGCTTGCAGGGATATTCTGTATGTATCGTAGGGGGCATGGATCAAATTCATAACTAACTTTCATCAGCCAATGTAAGGAGAAATTGGAGTCTTTTAAACCTATGGTGCTATAATTTTCTAATGAAGTCTATAGCCAAGTCAGGTCTACTCTGTCATTGTTATCCTACCTTATCCCAGAGTCAGTTTGCCACATTATCTTTGCATCTTCTATTTTATTTTTTATCATCTATCTATCTATCTATCTATCTATCTATCTATCATCTATCTATCATCTATCTATCATCTATCTATCTATATCTATCTATCTATCTATCTATCTATCTCACAATTTCCAAAACCACATTCACATTAAAATAAAATAAAAATCCCATTCATATATTTCTTTAAAATAAAACAATCATTTATGACTTCCCTTCTTGCCCTTCCCCTGGTTCCTTTAATTTTTTGTCAGGCCTACTTATTTGGGACCTCACTCGCCCACCATTACTGGGCTAACAAAATCCTAGCTGCTTTAGTAGCATACATGAATTGATTGCAACTACTTCTTGTTGCATTGTGACCTATTATTATTATTGTTATTATTTCTATGCTTATTATTCCACTAACTATTCTAAAAAGTAACTCCCATTTGAGATCCTCAAGAGACAGAGTTCAAGAGGGGCAGTAATGGAGAAGTGACTGGTTTATGGTCGCGTGGAAAGTGAAGGCAGTGAAGGGCATAAAACCTACCCTCTGATCTATTGCACCCACCTCTTCACTCTAACGCTTTGTTGAGATGAGGATGTAGGGCACCTTCCTCCTTATTTGAATTGCATTCTCTAAGGTGACATATGGGTAGCTTATGTCTCTTTCCCCCCTCACCAAGAGGGCAAATACCTTTTTTTAAAAAAAAAATAATCAAAAATCCAAGCAGGGGATCTGTAACCATCTCCAGCTGTCATCTCAGGAAGAAAGAGAAGAATTTACAGTCAACAATAATCCACTGGGAACCTTTTCTGTACTGGTTTCATTGAATTAAATGAGACACTTCGGCAAGCACTCCTCCTTCCCATGTTTGTCTAGCGTGGTTTTTTTAAACAACAACAAAAACCTGAAATTGCCTCTGAGGACTTAACCAGACCTCCATTTGCCCCACTGCTTCCCTGGGGAAACTGGTAATCTTTAGTGCTGAATTGCAACAAACAGCAATTGTTTTTTTCCGCAAATTGCTGTTGGTTCCGATTTCAGCTTTAAAAAATAATGCAGGAGCTTCATTGTTTGTTTATCTGTAGTTTGGCTCTAAGCCAGGCATAGGCAAACTCAGCCTTCCAGATGTTTTGGGACTACAACTCCCATCCTCCCTAGCTAACAGGACCAGTGGTCAGGGATGATGGGAGTTGTAGTCCCAAAAACATCTGGAGGGCCGAGTTTGCCTGTGCCTGCCCTAAGTACTGAAGGGAAGAGGTCAGGTCCTCCCCACTACCCAAGCTTAATGGGGACAGAGGTCAAGGAGATGCCTTAACAGTGCGGCACATGTAGAAAGACCTGCCACAGGTGGAAACAGTCAGGAGGAAAGACATGGATTGAGAACATGGGCTGTAGGTCAGTAGAAAATCCAGGGGCTGCAGTGAAGGGATTTCAGAAGCAAAAGCTGCCAGGGTGTTTGGGAGCCACCAGGGATTCCTGTGTTCTAAATCCCACCCTTTCAGGCTCAGAAGAACCATTGCGTAGAGTGAGCACGTCAAGAAGAAGGCTGGGGTCAGTGGGGGGTCTTCCATCAGAGCAAATGAAGCACTGCACCCATCTGTTCTATGCCTGACCTACCTGACTTCTTAGAACCAGTCCAGGAGGTGCCAATACCTGCCAGCTTCCTCCTCCTCAGTTTCAGGTGTGTTTGCATTACTGCCTCAGAGCACAGCGAGGTTGTTGGGTTCTTTTTCACAGTCCCTCCCCCATCAGCTGTTGACATGGCACAGTCCCAGCACGGCCTCTGAATGAATAGCTCTAGCTCTGAGGGTAGGAGGCATGATCAAGTGGTTAGAGCAAAGTGGCTAATTATGAACTATATTCCATTTAGTGAATGGGATTCTGTGCTCAGTCCTGCCTATCAGAACAGCCACTAGAGTGGCTAAATGGCCTTAGTTATCCCTGCCTGCTTATTTGTGTCGTTAAAATTGCTTCTAGGATACACCCTTCTGAAATCTATCCCTGCGAAGCACAATATGCTGTTGCAGGCATTTCTGGCTGCGCTCATTACTCCTCGCCACCCACCACCAGCATGCTTGCCTTTCGCGTTGTTGATTTAGTACTGACTCTTCCCCCTGAAAGAGCAGCTGCATGGCTTCAGAGCAGGGCTTTGTTCCTGCAAGAGATAAATTAGAGGCATCTCTTAGGGAGACTGAATTACCCCAGTGAACCACAGCTTGGAAATAAGGGGATGAAACACCTTGTCAGGTTCCCTCTCTCCGTAGCTGGATGAGGAACGCCGTCCAGCCCCACACGTGATTCCAGATCCTAGGTGGGAAGTCCATCTGGAACAAGTGCTGAGAAAATCCCTGGCTCCTGGTTGCCTAGGCACCTAAAAATGTTCTGTTGGTGCCTAGACAATTTGCAAAGGAAATTCAGTTCTCTGCAGCATTGCTCCCTCAAAACTCTTGTGGTTCTCGGGAAATCCAAACATTTCCCCCGCAAACTGCCCCAGAACTACTACGGTAAGTCACACAGCAGTTCGATTCCACCCCCACGCCTTGGCTCGGTGGTATTTCAAATGCCAGCAGACAGATGGATTACACTCTTGCCAGTTTTAGGCCTCGTGGAAACACAGGAGTCAACCGGAGGATATGGGCCTCTCTTTTAGCTGGTAGAAGCAGGGCTGCATCCTTACAGAAAGCCAGGAATCCCGCTGCTGGGGTGAGGAGGCAGGCAAGGGATGCTTATTGCCATGGCGATGGTGTCATGACAAGTTATTTTGCTCCATTTCACGGCATGTGTGGGATTAGAACAGAGAGCGAGCGTTTGTGACTATGCATGGCTGTGCAGCATCTATTGTTTAATGTGCCTACACACAGTTGTGTGCTCTCACTCACACACAATATCCTGTCCTATCCTTTCATCTTCAAGCATTTCCATGTTCCCATACACTCTCCTATGTACATGCTTTGTCTCATACGCGTGTGTGCTTCTTAACATACCATTGTAGCAACCAGTTAAATGCTCCCCCTGGGACTGTATTAGCTAGCTTAAATTGGCAAATTAGCTCTTTTGCATTACAAAGCATCTTGGGCTCCGTGATCTTGATGCCTTTAATATTTCTTTTGTTTATTGACTTCCCCTTTATGCTGTGAAATTAATTTTTATTGCTCTGATTGTCTCATCTCCCCTTTAATCTTCTGAACGCCAGCTGTCTTCATTATTTTAAAGGCGCTGCCGTACTGGCCTTCAGGATACAACAAGCATTCTCCCTCTTGCTCATTTTCCCCCTTCTGAAATGTGTGCAGTCTCCAGCATCCCTTTATGTTTCGGGAGGCAAGCCAGTTTTTACCTCAAGAGAGTGGATGATCAGAACCACCAGAAGTCAGGCCTTCTTCAAAGCAGCTGGCTGCTAGCAGACAGTGGTCTGCCAACCAGGCACTGAGGGCTTATGGACACTTTCTGTAGTTCCACAGGGAAAACCACTCTTTAGTGCTCATTCGGAGCAAACAGCTGTTTGGGTTTTCTGCAGGTTGCTATTTGTTCCGATTTAGAGCTAAAGAGGGTTTTTCCTGAGAAAGGAGCGGGGCAAGAGGAAAACTGCTTGGACTTATCCTTTCTAGGCAAGGGACAAGCGGAAGTGTGGAGGAGCCCGACATATGATTTCCCCTCCGTGAATATCCACACTGTCTGAAACTGGCGATAGCTTCTCCCTGAGCATAATGGAAATGACTGTGCTTTTCACCAAACACTGTGTGAGCGCAGCAGGGTGCCATGGGTTCAAACTGAGAAGAACAGGCACCACGCTGCTTTCATACAGAGCAGTGAACTATGAACAACAGCGAGCAGCGTAGTGGCTGGAGTTTCAGACTAGGACCTGGAGGACCAGGGTTCAAATCCCTAGTCGCCCCATTAACTGGGTGACTTTGGGCCAATAACTGTCTCTCAGCCTCACCTACTTCACAGGGTTTGCTTGAGAGGGAGAACCAAGTACACCACCTTGAGTTCCTTTCAGAAAAGAAATAAATAAATACATTAACAAATTATTAAACTGAGGTATGTGAGGGAGATGGATGGAGATCAGCAGGGCTGTGGGAAGTACAGGTAGGGTCACCTGGGGCCTATTTTATGTTAACCCAGCAGCATCCATCGCTGCCCCTACCTGGACAAACTCTACATGTTAAAAGCAGAGGGGAAATGGGCTATGTACCTTTGTCTCTTGCATGGCACGGTTACCTCCGACTTGCACTTCTCCTCGTCTTTTCCAGGCTGTAGGCCATGTAGGACCAGGCCAGGTAGTCCACATGGGTCGAATAGCATCTCTGGTTCCCTCCCTTTCCTGTATCATACCTGATCTCTGAGCAGAAGGGAGAGTAAAATGGGCTTGGGAGTGTTTTCTGCGTTCTGTTCCAGGAGTTGGGAAGGAGAGTAACTGACAGACCTTTTGTCTGAGAAAGTGTTTTTTAAGTGTATCTGTTGGAGCAGGGGGGCGAATGTGCTTTGGTGCTGTCACAGCAAAAGGGTTCCTTAAACCCCGAACCTCTGAGTTAACTTTGAGCCTGTAAGAAACGAGGGAGGAAATGTGAAATTGTAGTCAAGTGCCAACTTGCAGGGTTCTGCTCCTGGACGTCCTTTTTCCGTCTTCCACTAAATGCTTCCCTTTAAAAGAAAAAAAGTGCATCTCTATCCTTGGCTTTCCCTGCACTTCCTTTCTAATCTTTCCCCCCTGCTGTGTCCCATTTGTCTCCCTACAGACGGCACTCCCTTGAGTGAGCTCTCCTGGTCTTCCTCTCTGGTGGTTGTGGCTGTTTCCTTCTCTGGGCTGTTCACATTCATCTTCCTCATGTTGGCCTGTCTGTGCTGCAAGAAGGGGGGCATTGGCTTCAAGGTAAGCACTGTGGGAAGCCCACGTCCTCCCTAGGCTAGCTGGGTAGCAGCACTGGACTTTGCGGTAGAGAGGAAGGTCATTCTCTGTCTCCTCGGGGTCTGTGATTGCAAGGAGAGGCGGCGGGTGCTCAGCATTGGGCTAGAACAAACCTCGCTCTGGGTAGCCCATCTTAGAACACCCGTGGCAAGGAGACAAGATTCGTGTGGGAGAGAAGCAGATATTGGGGGTGCACCCTTGTTCACAAACTCTTGCTGCTCAGAGAAATCAGGGGCAGAGAGAGAGGTGTGTTTGTGCGTGAAAGAGAGAGGGCGGCAGGTAAAGGATCTTAGCTGTGACGGGAACCAGCATGGGCTGAAGATGAAATGGGGTGGGCAAGGTTAGTGAGCAGCAACATCCTCTAACAAAGCCTGGTGTCAGGGGCTTGCTGAGAATCATAAAGTTGGAAGGGACCACAAGGGTCATCTAGTCCAACCCCCTGCAATGCAGGAATCTTTTGCCCAATGTGGGGCTCAAACCTGTGACCCTGAGGTTGAGAACCTCACGCTCTACCAACTGAGCTATCCCACTGCGGTAGCGAGTCTTAGAACAGAGCAAGGGATGCTTGTCTGGCATTCTGTTGGAAGTGGGGGTGTTGGGGTTGAAGGAGACCCTGTTGAGTCCTAACCAACCCAGAAGAAGAGGCAGATGGGCAGGTGGAAACATAGGAAGTTGCCTTACTCCGTTCAGACTGTTGTCTGCCTAGGCCTGAGTGACAGCAGCTCACCAGGGTCTCACTAGGGCCATTGACACCACCTGCTTCCTGAGCCTTTTAAATGGAGAGGCCAGAGCGTGATCCTGGGACCTTCCACATGAAATGCAAGTGCTCTTCCAGTGAAGTAACAGCTTCTGCTGTTGGGCCCAGAGGCAGTGGGATTCAGTGCGATGGCTGCTGTTTCCCTGAGGCACTGTGTCAGAATTCAGACCAGGTTTGTACACCAATGCCCTTTTTCATACGCGCGACAAAGGTACACTCCTGCAAGTGGGGCGATTTAGTAAATCAGAGCTGTCTTTAAAGCCTCCAGGAAGGGCAGAGGCAGTGGGGATTTTTGGTGGGGCTGAGCTCAGTAGGGAGGAGGGCATTCTCTCTGGAAGCCTCCTTTGCTCAGTCTGGTGCCGTGCTGTGAGGAGCAGGTAAGAAGAGCCCACGAAATACGAAAAGGCACACAGAGAGAGGAGGAAAGGTCCATAGGTGCCCTTGAAACACTTAACACCAAAGCGTGTTTCAGGTCCAATGGCTCTTCAGCAGCAGCAACCGAACAAGTTTTAATGAGGAGATAAGTGTTTGTGCAAAGTATCTGCCTTAACACGCTCTTCCGTGCACACATTTGCAGGTAAGGGCACAAACTCCCAAGGTGCTTTCCTCTCCCTGACAGCATAAACTCCATTGACTTCTAACGTGGAGCTCAAGGGTGCAGTAGGCATTTCAGGGTACTGAGATGGCCTAAGATAGGGGTCCCCAAACTAAGGCGCACGGGCCGGATAAGGAGGCCCGAGGGACTCATTTATCCAGACTACGGCGACCCCCGCTGCCTGCTGCCACCACCCACTCTTACTGGCGCTGCACTGCGCGGCTGCCCACTTCTGGGTTGGAGAAGCACCGGAAATAGCTTGCACGCATGCACAAGCGTTCTTTGCACATGCACAAACATTTCCGGTGCACATCCGGGTCGGAGGAGGCCGTGCACATGCGCACAAGCTATTTCCGGTGCTCCTCCGACCCGGAAATAGCATGTGCGCACGCGTATGGGCATGTGCTCCCCCGCCCTCTGGCCCACCACGCGATCGGCGCTGGAGACACCGGCCCAAGGCGCGGTAAGTTTGCTGACCCCTGTCCTAAGAGGAAGGATCTCTTTCTTTTGCCTCTTGTCTTGAAGGAAATACATGAGTCTTAGTTTGTGAGCCACACATGACGTCCCCTTCTTGCCAGAGTAGTGTCAGGGTGTCCCTTCTTAAATTCCCAGGCTGGTTGGCATCCTCATCCAGTCTTGGCGGTGGCCTGCCCTGGAATGCCCCACGAGGGAGTGGGCAGCGCCAGTCTGACCTCACAGGCACAGAATGTGCTGGAGAAATGTGTTGCTGAGATTCTTGCGGGGGCTCTTGGCAGCCAGGCCGCGGTGCAGCCGTGGGGTGCTGGAATGGAAGCTATGGACAGTCCCGTGGGCTGGCGGCTGTGCAGCACCGGCCAGGTTTTGCCGTGGGAACAATGAGGCGCTTCAGAGGCCCCTACGCTGCCTATATAGGGGGCGCAGGGAGGGTTTGCAAAGCAGCCTCCATGCCTTCCCCGTGGAAATGCTGCGGCAGCGCAAGGGCGTCATGGCACAAGGGTGATGCTCACCCTTTCCTACCTGGTTGCCGGGGCAGCCTTCGGTGGGATAAAGCCCGTCCAGGTAACTAGAAGTGCCTACTTGGCTTTTGCACGGAGTGAATGGGGAGGTGGGAGATGCTGCGGCCACAAATTGCAGGCGGGCTGTGTGTGTGCATGTGTGGATGGGGAGGCGGGCGCATCGAACTTTGTGTGCTATTGCCGGGGTTGGTGGTGTTGAAGGGCACTTCAGGGAGGGTGCATTTATTAACACTCTTTCTCTGGGCACTCTTGCCTAGAGCTGGAGAAGCGAATCCCGGGAGAAGAGGCTGAGGATGGTTTTGAGGTGTCTGCCCTGCACGGGGGCCAGCACAGTGCCAAAAACAGCCTGTAATGTAGAACTGGGGAACCCTGGGCAGCCCTCCCCCTGCCCCCTGACCAAGGTGAGGCTGCTTCTCCCTCAACTGTATTTATGACTGTGTCTCTCTCACTGGGGGCAGGGTGGAAGGAGCAGAGCAGCCGCCACTGGCCACACAAGCCGAAACAAAAGCAGGGGTACCAGCGTGGGACAACAAGCGTCCGTCCAAGGGCGGGGTGGGCACAATGGGCTGCGTTGCTCTGCATTCAGGTCCCCTGGGGCTTCCTAGCTGTCCCATGCAGAAATAGGACTGGGGGCAGAGGCCTGGAAGCTGTAGCGCCGGCCATTAACCTGCCCCCTAGCCCAGCCTTGTGCCCTCCAGATGCTGTTGGTTCCCAACTCCCATCAGCCCCAGCCAGCATGGCCAAGGGTCAGGGATGCTGGGAGTTGTAGTCCAGCAAAAAGCCAACAAATGGACACCAGGTGGGGAAAGCCAGCCTTAAACCTTTGTCGCTTTGCCTATGGGACTGAGCTCCATCTCTTGAGTCTGCAGAGAATCCTGGGCAGATGATGCTTTGCCAGTTTTTGCTGCTTCTGTCCTGTTCATCAAAGCTTTTCTCGCCAGCTGCACCGCTCATGGAGCGTCTGTGTTTCCAAAGGGAATTGAAAATTGGCTGCCATTAAATGTCCTAGGAGCTGTTGCCCTGGATCCGTGAAACCAAGCTTGAGCTAGCAACCCCCCCCATCTCAATTTGTGTTTGTGTGTGTGTGTAAAGGAAGAGTGCGAGTAAGTGCACTGCTATCTCTGTCACCCCACCCCCTTAGTTTCAGTGTTTGGATCTGGACAGGAGCGTACGAGCGGCTGCGCCCTTCACACGGCTGTGGCATGGTTCATGCGTGTGCTCAACGGTGTATGTGGCTGCTTGAAGTTGAATTGCACCTCCACAGTCCCAAATGGCAAGGCTGTTTGCATGAAGCGGCTTCCCCATGCAGCTATCCCCTCTACCGCCACCACCCTCCAAGAACAGGGCATGGCTGAAGCTGCCCTGTCTGAGCGGAGGGAGGTCTGCTTCACACAAGTGGCTTGCTTGCTTGCTTGCTTGCTTGCTTGCTTGCTATTTCATAGAGCTGCATTGTGCAACTCCCATTTCAAGCTGTTATACCATAGGGATGAGCCAGGCCCGTGTGTGCGAGAGGGCTCTATAGGTCTGTGTTACTGGCCAGTGTTTACTCTCCTCTTGCATATGGACACTACAGAGACTCCTAACAGAAACTCCCTCCCCCAGGGAACTCCAGGAACTGTTGTGGGGTGGGAGTGGGGGGTAGCGGAGGAGACGGGAAAAGAATTAGGCAATCTCTAACCGAGAATTCAAAGCAAACTCTTCAAAGGGCATTTCCCCCATTATCTTGGGTTGACAATTAAAATGGTTAAAGCCAATATTGGTTTTAGTTCAAATTGGGCATATGTATGAGAAGGCTGTGCTTAGTGCTTTTGTTTTTCCATTGTGTGTAGCTCAAGGATGTTTATACATGTATTCCTCCCCTGGCTGTTTATGGGATGGGGGGAAATGTGTGTGCCTGTTCCTCCCCACCTGTGTGCTTGCTCCCTTGTAAGCGTACAGAAGAGCGCAAGGGAGTTGCCACCCGCCACCTGGGTGTATTTTGGAACTAGGAAGCTGCCTTCTACCAGGTTGGGATAAAGAACAATGGCAGTAAAAATCCTTAGAATCCAAGACATGAACAATGGCAAGACCTAGAATATGAAAATTGTATTTCATTATTCTTATGAGTAAGGTAAACTACATCAGCGAAGGTACAGAAACACAAAACCAAATGATACAAATCAGAGGAAAGCATGCCAGTAGAGAAAAATCCATTTTGCCTGCTCAATCTTTTTCAATTCTGCTTTCTCAGTAGTCAGAATTGACTTTTTATCTGCCTGTCTGCTGTCTTCTGAATTATATTATTTAGTTTTGTGTTTCTGTATCTTCCTTGGTGCGGTTTATGTTTTATAGATCACCATTATAATACAGTGGGGTTTTTTTTTATAGTCTGGGCCTTGTAATTGTGTTATTCTTTGCTTTACATAATGTGGGACTATTGGTCCATCTGGCTTATCTCATGCCAGTTGGCTGCATCTTTCCAAAATTCCAGGCAGGCAGCCTTTCCCCTCCTTACCTAGAAGTGCCAGAGATTGAACCTGGCACCTTTGGCATGCAGAGCAGGTGCTCCGCTACAGAGCCTCAGCTCGCCCCTTATTTATGGGTTCAGTACATGTATCTGTGCCCCCTCATCTGTGTTTGAGATGGCACCGATGATGACAGTGATGAAGATGTTATAGAAGAGTAATGATTGCTTCACATGCATTATTGCAATAATCCTTACGTGACTGGCATTACGAGTATGATGATGGGGAATGCATGCTTCCACCCGTCCCTTTTCTACATGTGTATAAAAATGTTTCCTTGCCCTGTGCTGGGCTCCTTTTTCTCTCTCCCTATCTGTCTTGCCCACCCCTATCCCCCACCCCAGGAATTTGATAATGCCGAGGGAGAAGAGTATGCTAGTGAATTCTCAGCCCAGGGCTCACCCGCTACCCAGAATGGCCCAGAAGTTTACATTCTGCCTCTCACCGAAGTCTCCTTGCCCATGTCCAGGCAACCTGGGCGCTCAGGTAAGTTGCTGAACCCTCTGCATTTCGGATTTTGTCCACCCTTTCAGTTTTAGCAACGGTGCACACTTGCAACATGCAAAATAAGAGCATGACATTCGATTTTCACACGGCTAACCAAACCTGGAATCTCCATTCTTGCAATAATGAGTATGGAACAGAAGTTCTGTTCTTGCAATAATGAGTATGGATTAGAATCCCCCCCCACGAAAGTGGGCAGAAAACTCCTTCCTTTCACCTTCGTGATTTTGCACTGTTCACTATGGTTGAAAAGGTGTAAAGAGTTGCCTATGTGCACCCTCAAAGCAACTATGTATTGACACATTTGTTATGACATACGCTTTCCTCGATTAGAGTGCCATGATAAATGTGTTAGTCTTTCAAGTCTCTCTTTTGTTTTTGTTGCAAGAGGCTACTAATACAGCAACCACCTTCTGGAAGTTTTCATCATTCCCATTCAGTCATCTTACATATGAGTTGTTTCCTAGAGGAAGCTGTCACAGGTGCACAGAGGAAAGTGAAGCAGGAGAAGTAGTGGTCACTACTATTGTTACCTGGTGCTTTTTGTAGAGTGACATAAATGAGAAGTCAAGGCCCGGCCTGCCCCTAGGAGCTTACAGCCTCAAGAGAAGAGGCAGATGCGATCAGAAGAATGTGGACAGTGGAATTACACATCCTTATTTTATTTTTATTTTAAAAACCTCTAACCTCAGGCTTGTGATCTGCTGAAGAGTCGGAAGAAATGCAAAACAGATTAGATGTTGTCTTTTGTAGGCATAGGAAGATGCAAAATCTAGAGCTGTGCAGAGCATACAACCAGAATGCCAGATGTTCCGTGCAACACAGAAGCTCTCGTCCTTTTGCCAAAATATGCCAGTCCAAGAAAAATACACCTTAAGCTGTTGTATATTCCGTCTCATCCCACCAGGACTTAATTGCCCCTAATGAGCAGGCGATCTTAAAGCGGCCAAAACAAGGCAGTATGCTTACGATGGTATGGATCCAAAGGTCACCATAGGGGGATTCAACCTCTGGGGCTCCCCAAGTGTCCGTCCCCCCCACCTCCCAGCAAGATCAAAGCTCCAAGAGATCCCCTCCGTCTGCAGCCCATTTAGCTCAGCTGTCTGTCATATATTGCAAGGCTCCCCCCCCCCACTCTCTTTCTCCTCCACACAATGGATGGTCTCATTCCTGCTGCCCACAGCCCACTTGCAGCTGCTTGGTGGATACTGTGTCTGGGTGGATCAAGTCCTCGTTCCAGTCATGGAGTTCGGTTCCCTTCGCCCACATATATCCTCTACGATGTAGATGCTTCTGTTGCCACTCACAGCAGCTGCAGCGGGGGGGGGGGCAGGCGGCAGGGTTGGTTTTACGTGCGCAGTGTGCGGGTTTGTTTGCAACTTCCTGGGAGCAGCACCTAGCGATGCTGCTTTCTGCCCCTCCAAGGCCCTGCCATACAGGAGTTGTTCTTCATCAGAGGCATTTTCACATCTAAAAGAGTCTCCATGCAGTGCGTATTGTATGACGGCACCTGCCAGTTATGCGTTTGGGGGCTTTTGCTTCCCCTGCACCTACTTCAGAATCCTCTGCCTGCCCTCCCCCCCATGGGAAGATACAGTGGTACCTCGGGTTACATACACTTCAGGTTACATACGCTTCAGGTTGCAGACTCCGCTAACCCAGAAATAGTACCTCAGGTTAAGAACTTTGCTTCAGGATGAGAACAGAAATCGTGCTTCGGCAGCGCGGCGGCAGCAGGAGGCCCCATTAGCTAAAGTGGTGCTTCAGGTTAAGAACAGTTTCAGGTTAAGAAAGGACCTCTGGAACGAATTAACCCGAGGTACCACTGTACTCCAAATCCAGCATGGAAAAGCTCTGGTGCAAGTGCCGGGAGCAGAAGTGGCAGCATCTGACCTTCTTTAGTTAAGCACCGAGCAGCCCACGTTTCAGGCGCTGGTGCTTTTTGCCTGTCTCCACACCAGATGCAACACTCTGCTGCTGTTGTTTCATTCCCCCTTTAACTAGTATCTTCCGGATTGTTCCGGCTTCTTAGATGGGCACCCCAGCCAGTGACTCGGCAGTGCCACCTTGTGGGTTTGGGATGGCAGGGCAACCCCCCATTTAGGCCGTGGTGGGGTGGGGTGGAGTGGAGGTGGCAGTGGAGGAAATGGGACACAAAATAGGAATGCAGGGCACTTTTTTCCTAAACAGGATGTGGTACCTGAAAAGCAGGCATCCAGGCTCCCTCCATAATCAGGCAAGGCAGGGAACAGTGAGATAGGCCATGTCCAAGCCTCAGTGTAGGTGTTTGACCCCCTCAGCAGAAGTCACTCCCTGCTCCTGTGACCTGAGATCACTTCCTCTCCTCCGCTACCTCTGGAGACAAAGGCCTTTTGGTCCCCAAGTCCCACAGGCCCCACATTCCTTCCCATGTGACGTGGCGAAGGAATCCAAGGCTTGCTCTGCTGTGTGGAATTGAGCCAGCTAGCTGGACAGCGACTCCCCTCTGCTCTGCCCACACAATTCTTGCCTGGTGCGGCCCTGCTGTGCACTAAATGGGCCCTCAGAGAATGGGTCCAGTGTCCAGATACAGCCATCGCCGCTGGGTGCAACAATAGGGCCTTTGCTTCTCCGTGTGATGGGGAGCGGTGGCGTCTGGCACTGAGGGGGCGAAGGGGTGGCACCGCCTGCTTTTTGGGGGGGAGGGGGACATGGGACTGCCCAGAAGGGTGGACGCGACACAGCTACTTTCTGCTGCCTGGAGGCTTGGAAGTTCGGCTGTCTATAGCAGAAGGCTCCTCCTGCGTATATGCGTTTGAGAGAGAGTCTCACTCACCTTCTGTCCTGGATCTGCCAACGGGGTAGAGATGCAGCAAAGTCACGTAGCCTGGCCTCAGGAGCGGCTGAGGTGTCCGCTTCTCTCTGCGGATCCCCGTGTGCCTGATCCTTTGGGAAGCTTCCTGCCCCAGACCCCGCTCTTCTGCGGAAAGTTAGGATGAGGCAGCAGGCAGGGGACAAGCTGGCAGGGCATGCAGAACTTCAAACCGCTCTGTATGCTCCTTCACAGTGCAGCTGCTCAAATCCACTGACCTGGGACGCCATAGCCTGCTATACCTCAAGGAAATTGGCCATGGATGGTTTGGCAAGGTAAGCTCCTCACCTGAGACTGATCCCATATTGTTGATTTATGCAACGGGGCCGCGTTGGTGGCAGTGGGGGACAGGGGGAGAGGGAGGAAGGAAGCAGACGCCAAAAGGCATGTCGAATGAAGGGATAACAGCGTCGCTTTTGCTTCCTGTCCCATTATTCCTGCCTTCCTTGGTGTTTCCCTTTTGGCTGTTGCTGGTACGGGAGTAGGACCGGAACAACGTGTTCTAATTCACGGGCTGCAAATAGAGATCTTAATTCTTCATTTCGACCCGGAGGGTGTGGAAATGAGGGGATTCCATTGAAAGGGTGCGAAGAAGTGAGGAGAGAAAGAATGCCCTGGGTTGGGAAGGTGGGAGCAAGGAATAGATTAGGTTTGACACCCCTGTCAAAGACTACAAGTAACAGGCCTTTGTATATTTATTTGTATTGCCTGCCTGCCTGCCTGCCTACATTTTGGCATCTGTTTTTTTAAAAATAGTGCCTGCCTCAGTGACCCCAAAGCCAATTGTGAGAGCTGGCCATGGGGTGCCCCTAACTGGACATGGGTTGTGTCCAAGGTCCTTGCAAGTGCTGGTGGAGTGAAGAGCAAGGAGAGGCCTCTTTTTCATGTTACATTTTAAACTTAAGTAAGATGCATTAAAAGAGGGAGAAGGCAAGATGGGGAAATCTGTTCAAATGTAGTGTGCAATAACTTCAGCTCAGGTCTGGGCCTTGGGGGAGGAGAACGTAGGCCTGAGAATGCTGAGCCTGTTCATAGTTTTTCCCGAGTTGCTTTTGTCACTTCGGGAGTTGTCCCATTTGCTCAAGCAGTTGGACACAACTCACATTGTGATTGCTGAAACAGCATCAGAAACCATGGGTCTGCATACCCCTCGGCTGATGCGTTGGCTCGGTCGAGAGGATGGATGACATGGAAAAGTGCCGGAAAGTAATTTCTGAATTGACACAAAGTGGGGGGAATTGAGAGCAGGGAGGGGAAATAAGTTTCTTACATTCGCTGGAGAATTACAGTGGACCAGAAGCTTAGATTTGAGTCGCAGCTGCATTAGTCACCTGCTAGGCTGCTCACCTGGCATTTTGCAACAGCCTTGCTATCTGACAGATAATGGCACTTCCTGGCCCATGCAGTGGCACTGCCCTATGGCAGGAGCCCAAGGTCCCAGTCCAACAGGCTAATGCCCTCTGTCTCTCCCATCCCAGGTGTTCCTCGGTGAGGTGAATGCAGGGCTGAGCAGCACACAGGTGGTAGTGAAGGAACTCAAAGCCAGTGCCAGTGTTCAAGATCAGATGCAGTTCCTGGAAGAGGCCCAGCCTTACAGGTAAGTTCCCCGGGGCCTTTCTCTAATAAGAAACATTGTTGTTGTTTTTAATTGCTGTATTTGTACACCCAGGTGTGTGCTTGTGGGATTTTCTGTCTCAGGTGTCAAAGTAACTTGGCCACACTTGGGCACTATGCACTTTGTCCTGGGGAAGTGGCTCCACTTGCTGTTCCACCTGAGGCAGCGGAACGTCTTGGGCCGGCCCTATTGATGACCTTGGCCAGGAGAGAAAGATTATAAGAGGACCTGTGTTAAGTCTTCCCCCGAGCCGGAGTACAAATGTGCTTCTGGAAACCTGCTTGCCTTCTAAATAAATACTACTTTCCCATGGATGCGCCCAGAGAAACTTGACAATGTTAAAGAATAAAACTATATAAGACAATTGTAAGAGCTATTCATTCATCTCCCCCCACACAGACACTCTACCATAATTTCCATGCTCAATTGGGAGAACACAGATGAGCCCCCATTGACCCGTTCCCCTTCCTGCAAGTCCCTGCCACCATTCCTGAATGTTGTGGTTGCTCAGTTGCCTGCAGCAGGGAGCTTGCTCTGCTTGACTAGGCTCTCTGTACTATTTAGACCCTGACACATCGCAGTGTTGTTGATGATCAAGAGAGCCCTACCCTTGTATACAACACAATGACCAAAATGAACTACAAACAGTGAGATACACCCTGTAGAATCAACCAACAATGAAAATTAGCAGCAGATTTTGGAACTAAAAAATGTCGAAACCGGCGGCAGAAGTAGTTAAGGCATTGCAAATGTAAAATCCTAGTAAAAATGATGACGTCAACTTATTATACAAGACATTTAGACGGAGCTTGACCGATCTCAAATGCTTACTGTATAGCCCAGTTGCCCAAAGGTGTGTGCTTGGGAATTTCTGTTAGCACCGTGCAGGACTTACACCTAAAATGTTTTTTTCCTCTTTCCTGATAACTTCAAAGTATCCTTGCACCTTTCCCCACACACAATTAATCCAGTATAACTAATATTTCCTGGTTTGTGTCAGTGGCCCCCAAGGCATTAACACGCTTGAGGCACCTGAGGAAAATGTACTCTGCCGGGAAAGCTGTTCTGTGTTAAAAGGATTTGCAGCGTATACCCCCGGGGCTGGAAGGAAGTCAAAGGGGCTGCCTTGTGGATTCGAGAGGCATTGTCCATGGGAAGGGGAGGGATGGGACAGTGCTGGGAAAGCGATGAATTACCGTACCGACTCATGAACAAACTCCCCTATTGTCCTTGGCCGTGCTGTGGTGGCTGGCACAGCTTAGGACCCATTTATTCGCAGACAGTACAGGGCTGTGCCATAGGAGCCCCTCTCTGTCCCCGCATGAACCTATTGTGTGAGTTGTTTGGAAAGGATGGGAGAGGAGAGCACACCCTGGAGCAAATCTCTCTTTCTCAGCTAACCTACTTGGGGCTTCACCTGTAGGCCCATCCTGCTCCTTCTTGGCTGTCCTGGTCCCAATGGCTGCCCTAAGGATCCTCCCATCGCCTTGCTCCCTGAGTCTCCGTTTCCTTTGATCTGCAGTGCTGCTGATGCGATTCCCTGCCTGGACTCTTTCCTTTCCTTACTCCCCCTCCCCTTTCAGTCCCATTTCACTCTCCTGCTTTCTCTCCTGCTCTCCCCCTGTTTCACAGGGCACTCCAGCATACCAATCTCCTGCAGTGCCTGGCCCAGTGTGCAGAAGTGACGCCCTACCTGCTGGTGATGGAGTTCTGCCCATTGGTGAGTCATTGCTAGAGGGGAGTTGCACGCTTCCTCTCCACCCACCCCCCCATCCCCACAAAATCCCTGCTGCTGTGGGCCTCCCCTGAGCTTTGGGGGACAGGTAAGCAACAAGACTGTGGCTGGCCGAGAGCCAAATCCTTGTTTGGGTTCATACCGTATATCCTCTCCCGACTCTCGCTTGGATCACGTGAAACCATTTGCTCGCTTCCAGAGGGTTTTTTTTCTGCTGTTGCGTTCTTTGGGGGAATCTGCGGCTCTCTGGGTAATGTTGGACTCCAGTTCCCATCATCCCTAATGGTCAGGAATGATGGGAGTTTGCCGTTCAATAACATCCGGAAGGACACAAGGTTCTGTATCCCAAGGTGTATGTACTCTCTCCAAAATATGCTTTGTTTTACCTAGTTTGATGGAAGGGACGTGGATGGCACTGTGGGTTAAACCACAGAGCCTAGGACTTGCCGATCAGAAGGTCGGTGGTTCGAATCCCCATGACGGGGTGAGCTCCCGTTGCTCAGTCCCTGCTCCTGCCAACCTAGCAGTTTGTTTTTTTTTTTTTTAAATTAAATTTTTATTGAAGTTTTAACAAACACCATAACAAAAAAAGAAAAAAGAAAAAAGCAAAAAAAAAGCAAAAAGGCATAACATACAATACAAAAGATAAAACACGTATAACCTCAATTTTTACTTTCTTTAAGCTTACTTTCACGACTTCCTCATACCTTCCCTTTCTGTATTCTAATTTCAGATTCAATTTTCAGCAGATCCTTTCCCTACTTTTAAGATAGTTTTAGTAACAGATATTTTCTTCCAATTATCCCTTACTGCTTTTAACCCCTTAAAAACCAATCCAACATTTTTCTAACCTTCATTAATTTTACAATATTTTTTAGATACTCCTTAAACTTCTTCCAATCTTCCTGCGCCGTATCGCTTCCCTGGTCACGGATTCTGCTCGTCATTTCTGCCAGTCCCATATAGTCTATCACCTTCAGTTGCCATTCTTCCACGGTGGGTAGTTCTTGCATCTTCCAGTACTTTGCGATGAGTATTCTTGCTGCTGTTGTAGCATACATAAAAAATGTTCTGTCTTTCTTTGGCACCAATTGGCCGACAATGCCTAGGAGGAAGGCCTCTGGTTTCTTAGGGAAAGTGTACCTGAGTACTTTTTTCAGTTCATTATAGATCATTTCCCAGAAGACCTTAATCTTTGGGCACGTCCACCAAAGGTGAAAGAATGTTCCTTCAATTTCTTTACATTTCCAACACTTATTATCGGGCAAATGATAAATTTTTGCAAGCTTGACTGGGGTCATGTACCACCTGTATATCATTTTCATAATATTCTCTCTTAAGGCATTACACGCCGTAAATTTCATACCTGTGGTCCACAACTTTTCCCAGTCAGCAAACAAAATGTTATGACCAATGTCCTGTGCCCACTTAATCATTGCAGACTTAACCACTTCATCTTGTGTATTCCATTCCAACAGCAAACTATACATTCTTGACAAATTCTTAGTACTGGGTTCTAACAGTTCAGTCTCTAATTTTGATTTTTCCACCTGGAAGCCAATTTTCCTATCTGTTTTAAACACTTCCGTTATTTGATGATAATGAAGCCAATCTCTCACTTTCCCTTTTAGTTTTTCAAAACTTTGGAGTTTCCATCTGTCCCCCTCTTGTTCCAGAATTTCTCCATATCTTGGCCATTTGGCCTCCATATTAAATTTTTTAATGGCCTTTGCCTCCATTGGTGACAACCACCTTGGAGTTTTACTTTCCAGCAAATCTTTATATCTAGTCCAGACATTATATAGTGCTTTCCTGACAATGTGGTTTTTGAACCCTTTATGAGCTTTGACCTTGTCGTACCAAAGATATGCATGCCACCCATACATATTGTTATACCCTTCCAAGTCTAAAGTGTCAGTGTTCTCAAGAAGCATCCATTCTTTCAACCAGCAAAAGGCTGCTGATTCATAGTAAAGTTTTAAGTCCGGCAGGGCAAACCCCCCTCTGTCTTTCGCATCAGTCAATATCTTGTATTTTATTCTGGGCTTTTTGCCCTGCCAGACAAATTTAGATATATCTTTCTGCCACTTCTTGAAACAATCCATCTTGTCCAATATTTGCAAAGTTTGAAACAAAAACAACATTCTAGGCAACACATTCATCTTAATAACTGCTATTCGACCCAACAAGGAAAGCTTCAAATTTGACCAAATTTCTAAATCTTTTTGACTTCATTCCAACATTTCTCATAATTATCTTTAAATAAGTTCAGATTTTTTGAAGTCATATTAACACCCAGATATTTCACTTTCTTAACCACAGTTAACCCTGTCTCATTCTGAAACCTTTCTTTTTCCACTGATGTTAGGTTTTTCCCCAATACTTTCGTTTTTAATTTATTCAGCTTAAATCCTGCAACCTGACCAAAATCTTGAATTAACTCTAAAACTCTTTTTGTACTAGATTCAGGCTCTTGCAAAGTAAGTACCAGGTCATCTGCAAATGCTTTCAGTTTATAATGTTTCGCTCCGACCTGTACACCTTTAACCAACTGGTCCTTCCTAATCATGTTCAACAGCACCTCCAGGACCGATATAAAAAGCAATGGAGAGATTGGGCACCCCTGACGTGTCCCTTTTTCTATCTTTAGTTCCTCTGTAACCACATTATTTACAATAAGTTTTGCTTTTTGTTCAGAGTATATCGCACCTATACCATTTTCAAACCCTTGGCCTACCCCCATCCCCCGAAGGTTCTTCATCATAAAATCCCAAGATATATTGTCGAAGGCTTTCTCGGCATCCACAAATATCAGGACTGCTTTAGTGTTAATGTTCACTTCTAGCATTTCCAAGATATCTACAATGTTCCTTACATTGTCTGATAGGTGTCTTTTCGGTAGAAAGCCTGCCTGATCTCTATGAATCTCCTCCATCAAAATCGTTTTCAACCTTTTTGCTAAAATGTCAGCAAAAATTTTGTAATCCACATTTAGTAGGGAAATAGGTCGGTAGTTTTTAAGTTGAGTCTTTTCCGTCTCTGTCTTCGGTATAAGCGTGATATATGCCTCTTTCCACGTGTCGGGTGCCTTTTTTCCCTCCAAAATCTCATTGCATACTTCCAGCAAAGGCTGTAATAACCCCTCCTTCAAAGTCTTATAATATCTGGAAGTAAGTCCGTCCGGTCCTGGAGATTTACCCAATGTCATATTTTGAATGGCACCTTCTATTTCTTGTTCTGTTATTCTCTGATTCAAAATTTCTTTACTTTCCTTTGAAATCTTTCTCAGTCCATTTTTTTCCAAAAACGATTCTATTTCTGCATCACTCTGAGGACCTTGTTTATACAATTGACTGAAGTATCTCTGGAAACAATCTCTTATTTCTGTTGGTTTATAAATATTCCTTCCTTCCACCTCTAAATGTGTAACCGTATTTAATTTTTGTCTCTTCTTTATTTGCCAAGCCAGCAATTTCCCACATTTATCAGCTGATTCAAAAGTCTTTTGTCTCATTTGCTTAATTTTCCATTCTATTTCTTGATTTGTCAGCTCCATATATTGTGTCTGATATAATTTGATTTCTTTCAGTATATCCTGTGATTTTGGTTTTGATCTTAATTTCTTCTCTCCTTCTCTTATTTTTTCCAAAATTCTTTCTTTCTTCTCATTCTGGCTTTTCTTTTTGATTACATTCTGTTGTATCAAAAATCCTCTCATAACTGCCTTGCTTGCGTCCCAGATTATTCTTTTCTCTACATTGGTCCTCATGTTTATTTCAAAATAGTCTTTCAAGGTTTTCATAGCCTTCTTGCAGAAGTCTTCATCCCTAAACAAGGTGTCATTCATCCTCCATCTGAAGATACCAGTTGTTGTTAAGTTCATTTCCATCCTTATCGCATTATGGTCGGAGCAGGTTTTTGGGCAGATTTCCACTTTTTTTATCTTTGGCGCCATTCCTCTAGTTATCCAAATTTGGTCAATTCGAGTCCATGTCATTTTAGCTTCAGAAAAGAAGGTTCCCTCTCTTTCAAGTGGGTGCTTTATCCTCCAAATATCCACTAAATCCATATTGTCAGTCATTTCAAAAAGATTTTGGTAGTCTTCCCTCTTTGGTAATTGTCTGTCTTTGGGGATTTGTCCATATTGGTAGATACAACTCCATTCATGTCTCCCATCAAAAATTAAATTTATATCCATAAAGTCCATCAAAGCT